AAGGAAGGAAGGAAGGAAGGAAGGAAGGAAGGAAGGAAGGAAGGAAGGAAGGAAGGAAGGAAGGAAGGAAGTTTTCTTTACAGCAGTTATAAATGCATCTCTCTTTCTCTCTCTCTCTCTCTCTCACACACACACACACATACACACACACATCCCTTTTTCCACTATGCTAACCATCTGACCCCTAAATCCCAAGTTATTTATTTCTCTTTTCAACAAAAGCTCTATAAAGCATTTCCAGTTCACTGGCCAAGATTATTTCCAAAAGGCACTGCAACGTTTAAAAATCAGCCTGGTCCAACCAACTTCGTTGCAGCACCCTGGACCGATCCAATCTCCTGCACCTTGGGTGCCTAGATCTTTTTGGGACCACAACACCCGTGTTGGACTTGATGGGAGCTGGAGAGCAACTAGCCTGGAAAAGCAATCAAAGGCAGCCGGGTCTCCCAGGCACGAAAGGAGACCTGAAGCTGGCCGAGTACATCCCCTTCCCGAAGGCCAAATGCTGCAAAGGGAATTTGCTGTGCAAATAACTTCTTGCGCAGTGACACACTTGCCCATTGTCTTCTCCGGTTGGCTTTTAACCCCGAAGGAGATTGTTTTATCAGAATTACCCGATTCAAGGAATTTGAGCCTTTATGACATGTGTATGTGTGTGTCTGTGTGTGTGTTTAGCATGCCCAAAAGGTAACCCTTTTTAAATGATGGAATCTCCACCTTAAGAAATGCTGCTTGCATTTCGCTTTCGGGAAAGGTGAGGCTAGAAGCCCCCAAGGCAGTAAACCTTGCCTGTAGCTGGCCAAGGGGGAAGGTTACCTTTCCATAAAAATGTGTAAATTGGAGGTGGGGGTGGGGAGAGGAGCTTCTATGGAATTCCTCCAGATTCTTGGCTGCCAATCTCTCCTCCTCAAACACTCTCTTGGACACGTTCCTTGGCAAATATTTTCCATTTTTCCTGGAGAGAGGCAAGAAAAGGCTGGATGCCTGATCCATCTAGAGGTTCTCAAGGGTCTCCAACCTTGGCAACTTTAAGCCTGGTGGACTTCCCCAGCCAGAAAAGACCCCTGATCTAAAGAACCAGTAAAGCTGGCTGACGAATTCTGGGAGTTCCACGAGTCCACAAGTCTTAAAGTTGCCAAGGTTGGAGACTCCTGATCTAGAGATCTTTCCACTCTGGAGATGGAGACCCAGATACAGAAACCCAAATAGAAACTCTTGGAGGAAACCAGCTGGGTTGCTTGAAGGACAAGCGAGGAAGCTGCTCTTCTCTTCTCCAAAGACCACGCCCGGAAGGCAATCTCAGTCATCATTACCTCTCCCCACTCCCCACCCCCCTGGGGGGGGGGTCCCGCACTCTCATAGGTCATGTGAGTTTCGTTCAGCAGCAGCCGGGCAGGTAGAGCACCCCAATGTGTCACCATCGGAAACCTCCCACCAGGGAGGGTGTGAGAGGGAAGGAATGTGCAACCTCCAGAGGAGTATATAAGACCTTGGCTGGTGGCCCGCCTGCCAAAAGATCTCGAGGGCAGACCAGGTGAAGCCTACAGAGAGGAGGAGGCCAGGAGAAAAGGAAGGAAGGAGAAGACTTGGGAGATGGCTTGGCTCAAGCTCACGTTGCCGCTTTGCTTCCTGGGGGCCCTGCTGGTTTTGCCGGCTTACTGCCAACAAGCCCCTTGCGAGGTGGTCAGGAAGACAGTGCCACAGGGCTCCTTCCGCCTGGATGTGGAGCCTCACGATTATACACCCAACGACATCTATACAGGTAGGTGCCTATTCACGTCTGGGCCTAGAGGCTTTTGTTTTTTTGGTGTGTAAATTTATCTCGCCATTAATTCAGCTCCCCCTTGTTAGTATCCGCCTTCTGACTCCAGCAGCTGCTCCGAGAATTAATGGTAGAATCATTCCGATTTATTTATTTTTTTTTTAAAAGAATCTTTCCAGAATTTAGCATGCCCCAAGTGGAGTTTAGGGGTGCAGTGGCTCAATGGCTAAGACGCTGAGCTTGTCGATCGAAAGGATGGCAGTCCAGCGGTTCGAATCCCTAGTGCTGTGTAATGGGGCGAGCTCCCATGACTTGTCCCAGCTTCTGCCAACCTGTTCGAAAGCAGGTAAAAAAATGCAAGTAGAAAAAATAGGGACCACCTTTGGTGGGAAGGGAACAGCGTTCCGTGCGCCTTTGGCGTTGAGTCATGCCGGCCACATGACCACGGAGATGTCTTCTTCGGACAGCGCTGGCTCTTCGGCTTTGAAACAGAGATGAGCGCCGCCCCCTAGAGTCAGGAACAACTAGCAGGGGAACCTTTACCTTAAGTGGACTTTGAGGCATGCAGTGACTCGAGAAAGGAGGGGAAGGAAATCAGAGGGCTTCTTCCCATTGCCATTCCCATTACCCTGGAGGTCTCTAGTCCAACCTCCTGCTCAAGCAGGAGACCCTAGACCACTCTGGACAAAGGGCTGTCCGGTTTCTCCTTAAAAGCCTCCAGAGCACCCAGCTGTTCCACTGGTTAATTGTTCTCGCTGTCAGGAACAGCAAGAACAATTACTTAGCCTGGATAGCTCAGCAGACTAATGCATTGTAATTTAACTCCAGCTGTCTGCAATTAGTAAGTTCAAATCTCACCAGGCTCAAGGTTGACTCAGCCTTCCATCCTTCCAAGGTAGGTAAAATGAGGACCCGGATTGTGGGGGCAATAAGCTGACTTTGTATAAAATAGAACACCGCTTAGGGGGGGGCAAAAGCCCTACTAAGCAGTATATACAAAGATATGAAGGCTATTGCTTAACGCACTGTAAGCCACCCTGAGTCTCCGGAGAAGGGCGGCATATAAATCAAATTTTTTAAAAAAATGTGGGGAATAGGCTAGGAACGCTCTTCGCAATGGCCTCTCCAGCAATGCAGGGTTCATTGTGCAATCTGTCAAAGGGGAAATTATTGGTGACCGGCATGGAGGTAAAGAAGAAGAGCAGCTGGCCTAGGAAGGTTTCTTAGCTTTTTCTTTGGCAAAAAAAAAATTAGTCATTAGAAAGGACAATTGTATGTTTAGATCTATCCCAAAGCATCCTTCTCCTTCAGAAGAGAGCTGTAAGATTGGGAATAATGAGGAAAGGAAGGTTTCCCAAACACCACTGAGGCAGGTTGGATGGCTTAAGAGTATATACCCCGATTGCAGAACTGAACACCGAGGCCAGCTACGAAACATTCGGCCTGCTCTTGCTTCCCATGGGCGTTTTCCCCATTTCGCAACTCGCTCTCTCTCTAATGCCAGCCACGCTGTCGGTCGAAACGCAACCTGGGTTGAGCTCCACCTTGTGAGTCAGAGGCAGCCCACAGATGAGGGATGCTGGAAAACCAAGGTTGGATTTTTTTTAAGCCACCTGGAATTTTCCTCTGGCATTTCAGGCCCCCCCCTGAGGCGCGTTTGCTTCTCCTTCCCAATATTAAAAAAAAAATTCCTCCTTCTTCTTCCTCCTTTCCTTGGCAGTATCGATCACCGGTGCAGAGAACGCCTCTTCCGTTATCTTCCAAATTCTGCCTTCGGAGAACAGCGGTGGGGGGCTGTGGGAAGAGGGGAACCGGCTGGTCCGCTGCAGCCCCTCTGAGAGCCTCATGCAGAAAAACATCTCGGGGTCCGGCATCCGGACACGCTGGATTTCCTCAAGCAGCCTCAACGTTGGATCGGCAGAAATCAGGTGAGGGGTCCAGGGTGTGGGGCGAAGAGAGGAATCCCTCCGAGGAACTGGCAGCGTAGCTTCGAATGCTCAGGTGCTCCGTCTTTAAAGGAGTCAAGATGCACATAAATACATATGTGGGCTTATTATTATTATTATTATTATTATTATTATTATTATTATTATTATTAATTTATTTATTATTTAAATCTTTGCCATAATCCTGTGTGGAAAGTGAGACTGAAAGATGGAAGTCCCGAGGGCCAACGTTAAAACATGGAGGCTGATTTTTCTGCCCCAAGTGCTAAATAAAACTTCCACATGGCAGGGAAGTATATCTTACAAGAGCAGACTCTGAAGACAGACACGTAACCTCTTCGGACTGTTCTTTTCATGTTCTCAGGGCTGGCCATTCAGCAGATGATCTACCTGGTGTTTTTCACCAGTTCCTTCCTTCCTTCCTTCCTTCCTTCCTTCCTTCCTTCTCTTCTTTCCTTTCCTCCCTCCATCTCTCCCTCCCTCTCCTCTTACTTCCTTCCCTCCCTCCCTCCTTCAATTCCCATTTCCTTCCTTCCATTCCCATCTCCTTCTCTCTCTCCTTCCCTTCCTCATTCCTATATTTCTCCTTCCTTCCTTCCTTTCTTTCCTTCCTTCCTTCCTTCCCTCCCTCCTCCCTCCCTTCCCTCCTTCCTCCTTCCCTTCCTATATCCATCCATCCATCCATCCAAGACTAGCTAATACCACCTGCCAGCTATGGAATTGTTTCATTCCTTTTATGATTAATCAGCATTTTAATACTCTGGCTCTGATCACTAGGAAAGGACTTGTAAGAATCCTACAAATAACTGAATATTGGTTAAGATCAAACTTGCTCTCCTAAACCGTTCTGCTTCATTCTGGTACCATGACAGGAAGCCGGACATTGGAAATTGAAATTAAACAGTGGTTCTTGCTTTCCTAAATTCTGTTAAAAAAAAAACAATCAACCTTCTATGGATCCAGCTTCTCTCCTTTTTTCTCAACCATGTCCTCTTCTACTTGTCTGTTTCCAAACAGAGCCTTCGTCACCTTTATCAATGGAACTACCCTGCTCCAGACCAGGACCCTGGCAAAAGGTAATTTTCGTAGGTTCCTGGGGGAAAAATGGATATTTGCAACAATGGTTTGGTTTGGAGGTGATTCAAAGCACTGAGCAAAGCTAGAACGTAATTCAGTGGAGGCAGACTAACCATGATGCCAGCTGGAAGCTGCATCCTCTTAGCATCCTGCCTCAAAGTCCAGAGATGCTCAGAGAGTACGCAAAATTTGTGCTTTGTTGCTATCTTTCCCCAAGAAAGCTTGGGAGGCAGGTGCATTTTTAGGAGGCCATCAGAATAGTCAAGATGGCGGGAGTAAGGGTGCAATTGATGCTTCAGAGCACCTAAAAACCAGGCAGAGCTTCCATCTCACCTCACCTCGACATCCCTCGTGAGGGTTTTCTAAAGATGTTTGGGTTGGCATCACCAGAACCACAACAGGACTCCCCGTTTCTCCATTTAGCAAAAGGATGTGGCTAATCTTGCTTCCATTTTTCTTTCCAGAGGCGGGTCAGCTCAATGTCATCGTCTTCCGTCTCCCGGCCAACCAGCAGCACCGGCAAGCCGACTCATCTGAGCAACCCTACCGATGGTCACCGCCACATCAACTCCACCTCATTCCACCATAATTTAGCATCTTCCCACCAATCCACCAAAGGACCACACAGTTCGGTCTCGGTGACCCAAGCTAGCTCGGTCCTTCTCGCCATCCTGCAGTTTCTTTCCATCTCTCTGGGATACAAGCTCCTGGCCTAAGCTCTGACCCAGGTATCAGGAGCACACCTTCCATGTTTGCGTACAACCAGAATTTGAGAACTAACGGACCAATTTTCTTGGGGACCCAATATCCCTCCTGCAAAAGCCCCTTCCTTCCCCGTCCCCCTCCCAATCTCTCCTTCCTGCTGAACTCAAGAGGCTGATTCCAGAACCCGTTTCGGCATCTGCCTTGCCTCAATCCTACTGCAGGGGTGTCAAACTCAATTTCATTGAGGGCCGCATCAGGGTTGCGTTTGACCTTGGGGAGACCAGGATGGGTGTGGCCAGTTCAATGTCACTCATGTTGGGGAGGAGCCTGTGGTGGCCCAAGCGCTCTGCCAGTGAAAATGGGCTCCTGAGCTCTGTTTCCGGCTGCGACCGCTTTCTGCAACCCTCTGCCAGCAAAAACGGAGCTCGGGAGGGCCACGTGCGGCCTTTGTGAGTTCCGTTTTCGGCTGTGACAGCCTCCTATGACCCCTGACTCGCTGGCAGAGGCACCGCAGGCTGGTCCTTTGCTGTTTCCAGGGTGGTCCCTCAGGCCAGCTCTAAGCATCCCATGAGTCACATCCAGCCTGCGGTTTGACACCCCTCTCCTACTGTATAGTAATTGGGGGGGTGGGGGAAAATCCAGCTTCCATTGTGTTTGTTCTCTCTATGACTTCAAGGCATAGCAATAAACTCAACCAATTGCTGCCTCAATTCAGCTGCCTGAGGTAGATTGTGTATTTCCCTAATAGTAAGACTGTACTGGGTCCAAAAAGTACGAAGATGCAACTGTTAAATTTTAAATGCATAGGACTACAATCTAGGCAAAAAATGTTCCTTAAATAGTAAGACACCCCCCCACACACACACAGCTTCCTCTTGCAAAGTGTGTTTCCATTCTCCATAGCAAGAAGAATTCCAGGGTTTGATTTGGGGGGGGGAACAGGGGGCACATGAGGGCCTTCGAGGCCCGGATAATCAGACTAAAAGGGTGAAATCAGTGTCACAAACTGAAGAACTGGCATTCTTCTCTCACCCACCCACCCACTCCTCAATCCTGCAAAGATGCTGACCGAAGCGTTTTGTAACACAGGCCCAATCGGACAACACAACTGCTCAAAAGCTTCTCTGGGACGGTTGGGTTTGACTGCCAACTGAAATATCGAAATTTGAAAAATTCTCAAGCTAAATTAGCTTCTTTTCATCTGTTGGTGTGACCAATCATCTGGACTGTGCATCCTTCACAAATGCGAGACTGGAAAAAATTCTTCCCCCCCCCCCTTTTTTTTTTTTTAAACACTTTCTGCTATTTAAATCCCCTGCTGGTAAGGCATTCTCCTGTGTTAAAAAGAAAAAAAGTCTTTTTTTTCTTTTCTCCAAAAATAACTTGGGAGCCGCTCGCTGCTACTATTACTACTATGTGTCTGAAGAACTAACTTGTCTTGAGAGATTAAAAAGAAAAAGAAAAGAAATTGGAGGAGGCCAGAAGAAACAGACGAGAAGAAGGGATTTTGGAAGCTCGGGAGTCCCGAGGTTGGACTTCCAAAAGTTCTGTGTGTTACTGATGTTTGTTTTTTTTTTGTACATACTGTATCTTTGGGAAACGTATTTTGAAACTCCACTGTGCTTTCCAAAGCCAATAAAATACATTCATAAGATCTGGTGCAATTGTGGTGTCCGGTGGGGGGGGGAGGAGAGGGAGGGGGAATGATGGTAGGACCAACTTCTGTCTCTAGGGCAGTGTTTCTCAGCTGTGGTGACTCGAAGTTGTGTGGACTTCAACTCCCAGAATTCCCAGGCCAGCAAAGGAGACAGATGGTTAGCCAGAACCTGGGACCTTCTCTAGCTGAACATTGGATCCTCCTAAGCTTAAGTTCTCATCTTATTTAAAATCCAGTGCCGTGTTTTTCAACCTTGCAACTCTTAAAGTGTGTGGACTTTAAGCGCTGCTGGCTGGGGGATTCTGGGAGTTGAAGTCCACCCATCTTCAAGCTACCAAGGTTGAGAAACACTGGTCTAGAAGCCAAGAACTCTGGACAATTAGCCTTCAACAGACTCCTAGACATTAACAATATCTACATATGCAAGATATCTACTATGCAAGACAAGACAATAAGTCAAAAAGAGGGGGGGAAAGACCAAAGCACTTCTCCACCAGCAATCAGTGCCCAGATGAACATAGATGAACTCCGAGATTAACATCAGACCAACAATCAAGTAACCAGTACCCCAAACAAGAAACTGCCAAACAAACCAACATTAAACAGCCCAACCAAAGAACCACTAAGGCCACCCAATTATCACAGACAGGACAAACCACTAGAATATAAACTCAGAGCAAACCCCACTCCCTTCTAGGACTGATGATGTCCTAGAAACGTTAGCAAGAAAACAACCAAGCTCAGAGAGCACCAAGGACCCCTAATTCTCCCATCCTGTGCATCGTTTCCTTTGAAGCAACTGCCTTGATTTGGACAGCGCTAGCATTCAAACCAGCAGGCTTGATTGAGATCAGGGTTTCTCAAAGTTGGCCACTGTTAGAGGTGTGGACTTCAAGTCCCAGAATTCCCCAGCTTTTGCAAACGACAAACCACTCCTTTCTGGCACCTGATGTCCTCAATTGTACATTGAAGTTAGTCTTTAAGTGGTTCCAAGGCCTCTGTCCAGGCTCAGGGGCTCTAATGTCCCGTTTTTGACCATCTCCTGCCACAAAGCATGACAATAGCCCCCTCCCACAATCAGACCATCCCTGCCCAGATGACAAGCTGCTGAATCACCTCGCCCACAAATTTGTCCAACCGAGTTTTTTTAAAACTTTTAATAAATCTTTTAGCAAACGAGGCCACCTCTCCAAAAGTCTTTGAATGAAATGAGAAACTTTTTCCTTTTTTTTTTTGTTTGCTCCTAGTCTAATGTTGAAATTGTTCGCTGGCTGAGATTTGCCTTTGTCCTTTTCTGTTCGTTTTCCAAGGTCCGCTCTGCAAAACATTGATAAGGTTTGTAAATAGTTTGAGAAATACATTTGGAAACAGCAGAGGTAGAGTTTAGAGGAGATGGTTGACGGTTTGGCTTCCAATTTTCGTATGTTTGTGTAACTATATTTTTCTTGACTGTACACCGCCTTGAGTCCAACGGGAGAAAGGCGGTATAGAAATATAATAAATAAATAAATAAATAAATAAATAAATAAATAAATAAATAAATAAATAAGCAACATTTTTCAATAGACGCCAAGGAGGCTGTAGAGCCTCACTCCCAGAACCTACCACTAAGTTTCTCAATCTTGGCTATTTTTAAGACATGTGGACCAGTGATGGGTTTCAAATTTTTTTACTACCGGTTCTGGGGATGTGGCTTGGTGGGCGTGGCATGGCATGGCATGGCATGGCTTGGTGGGCGTGGCAGGGGAAGGATACTGTAAAATCTCCAGTCCATCCCCACTCCAGGGGAAGGTGACTGCAAAATCCCCATTTCCTCCCAATCAGCTGGGACTTGGGAGGCAGAGAATAGATGGGGATGGGGCCAATCAGAATTTTTACTACCGGTTCTCCAGAACTGGTCAGAACCTGCTGAAATCCACCTCTGATGTGGACTTCAACTCCCAGAATTCCCCAGCCAGCATGGGGAAACGGCTGGCTGTGGAATTCTGGGAGTTGAAGTCCACACGTCTTAAAGCGGCCAAGTCTGAAAAACACTGCGCTAGAGCATATTTCCCATCATCCTTCAACCCCCGATGGCCATGCTGGCTGGGGAATTCTGGGAAACGCCTTTCAACGTGCCAAAAAGACTCCCGATTGGGCTAAGACGTTTTGTTCTAAACCGTGTGTCTCTGTGTGATATGCAAGTCGGAAACATCTCGTCCGGGGATCAAATCCGCGCTGAGTCATCCCAACCATCTCATTTTGTCTGGAGCGCCCGTGTTTAATTTGGGAGGCCTCTGTCGTAGTCAGCTGGCTCCAATTAGTCACTCGCCAGTGAACTGAACATCAGAAATTGTGGCTTTTTTCAAGCACCCTGGCACTAAGAGCCCAAAATCTGCAGCAGCCAAGATAACAAAACACGAACAGGCCTGTTCCTCTCGCCATATTTTGTTTGTTGGCACTTTGCTAGAAAAACGTCTGCGGGCGCTGGAATTGAAGAGCCCGCTTTTCAAAGACTCTATGAAACTGACACGGAAGAAATACACGGTCGCAAAACTCTGCAAAGGACACCAGGGGTGGAATTCGCAAAAGGCTTGCCGTTCTTCTCAGGATGCCGTTTTAGGATCAGGCATTAGCTCTCCTTTCCTTGCTCTTCTCTTTTTTTCCCCCCCTGATTTATATTTCTCCGGGAGAGCGCTCGTGAATGGGACTTTTTCCCAGAAAGCAAGAACATAAATGTTTAAATCCTTCCTTTTCTATTTACAACGTTCAGGCATGAATTATGGAAAGAGGGCTTGGTTTCCCTGCTCAGCGCACACGGCCAGGAATGGAGGCACCGAATCCAGTTAGCCAGGAGTGTTATGTATCTTGGATGACAAAAATTTGAATTTCACCATTGGGATGATGAGGCCGTCCGCAGCTCAGAGAGTTTAACATGCCCCAAGTGGAGTTTAGGAGTGGCTAAGACGCTGAGCTTGTCGATCGAAAGGTCGGCAGTTCAGCGGTTCGAATCCCTAGTGCCGCGTAACAGGGTGAGCTCCCGTAACTCATCCCAGCTTCTGCACAACCTAGCAGTTCGAAAGCACGTAAAAAAAAATGCAAGTAGAAAAATAGGGACCACCTTTGGTGGGAAGGTAACAGCATTCTGTGCGCCTTTGGCGTTGAGTCATGCCGGCCACATGACCACGGAGACGTCTTCGGACAGCGCTGGCTCTTCGGCCTTGAAACAAAGATGAGCACCGTCCCCTAGAGTCGGGAACAACTAGCACATATGTGCAAGGGGAACCTTCACCTTTCAAGGAGGAGATGGACAGAGAGTAAGCTCCGATTTGTTTACCCAAGTAAGAGAAGGTGCTTGTGAGCACGCACTGGCTTTAAGCCACATCCCACGTTAGTTGTGGTTCTCTTGTGTATGTGTGTCCCTGCCTGTCTTTCTGCTCGCAGATCAAAATCAGAGGCAGCATGCTTGCAGCTCAGAGTTCCAACGAAGTGAGCAATCACAGGTTTGGAGCAGACAGAAGAATAATTTCTAGAAGAGTTTCAGGGATGAAGCAAGGAAGGAGTAGTAAGCCATCAGTCTTAAGAATGAGAAAGGAAGAAAGTCGAAGTAACCCCGCCTTGATTTCGTTTAGTAGCAGGTGAAGCAGAGAGAAACTTGAACAGACTACCAAGATTGTGCCATCCCTTCAAACCAGGGAAGGCCAAGGAACTGGCAGAGCAAGGATGGCAGGAATCTCTTCTGCATTGGGGCAAGGAAGGATAACAGCGTTTTGAACACCTAGCCAAGTTTCACTTGGTCCTATTTATACCCAACCGAGGCGGGGTTATGGGGAATTTCTGTCTCTTGCATCCCAAGTCTATGAACTCTTGTCCAAGTTTGGTCACCACCATATAAAGATGTTGAGACTCTCTAGGTGGCCACTGAGCCATCTAGTCAGGTGTCCCTTCCAACTATTCTATTCTGTTCTATTTTATTTCTATTCTATTCCTTATTCTATTCTATTCTAATTCTTGTTTTGATTCTATTCTATTCTAATTTTCTATTCTATTATTCTATTCTATTCTATTCTATTCTATTCTATTCTATTCTATTCTATTCTATTCTATTCTATTCTATTCTGCATCCCAGCCCATCCCATCCCATCCCAGCCCATCCCATCCCATCCCATCCCATCCCAACCTACTCTACTCTACTCTACTCTACTCTATTCTATTTCTCCCTTTACTGATTCCCTCCATCCTTTCCTGTCTCCAAAGTCAGCTCAACATGGGACCTCAACAAAGTCAGCTCAACATACCCAGGGATTGCTCCCAGCCTTTTTTTTTTTCCCCCTTCTTTTCCTTTTTTTGCAACTGATCCTTGTAGTTTTGCCTTCGCAGAGATGCCTCCTGCAAAGCTACCTCCTGGCAGGCAGGGGTTACAGCCGATGCCCCTCGATCTGCAGGCTGTGCCTTCAGGCAAGGCTCATCCCCTCACCTACCCGCCGCTGCCAGTTTGTGCTAACGTAAAATTCGCTGCTGCCAGATGGGAACGAGAAGGGGGTTCATGACTTGCTTTTTAAACCACAGGAAGCTGCTCGATTTCAGGCGTGGGTGGGCAGAGATTCCACCCACCCCCAATGAGCCAAAGGAGCAAATGAATGAACGAGTTTCCCTCCAGAGGTTCAGCCTCTTTCTCACAACAGGGAGTGTGACCAGAAAGGTAAACAGCGAAGAAGCCGTATTGCGAAAATCTAGGTCAACACCAACACACACGGAGGCCCTAGATTGGCTGGATCCTGGGATTGCCAGCTGCCAATCCTCCTCCTTTGCTGCTTCTCCTCCTTGCTCAATTCCCCCTCCCGTGTTGCTCAAACGCAGCTTCAAAGGCATCCTCCCTCCACGCTCATCCTCCCATCATGAAGATCTCTCCTTCTCTCTCTCTCTCTCTCTTTCTGTTCACCAGCAATCACTCCTACCCCAACAAACACACATCACTGGGATTCAGCTGGGTGGCAATGCGCTCCCAAGCTGGGAAGGAGCAGGGTTCAGAAATAGGGACTGTCAAGAGTTGACAGCTAGTTCAGTGATGGCTAACCTTCTTGCCATCGTGTGCCAGGAAGGGGAGGGGGGCAGGGAAGGTTCGTGAGCACGCATGCCCACGCCCATAATTCTATGTGCACGCAACCCCCTCTCCCCCCACGCTCCTGGCATGTGATAGCCCAATAGGCCCGTGTTTCTTTCTCACCTGGCCCCAGATCCTGTCTATGCATCTGGGGAGTTGGAAAACGGGCTGTTTCAGGCCTCCGGAGGGCCTCCGAGGGGGTGGGGAAGGCTGTTTTCTCCCTCCCCAGATGCATAGAGAGGATCTGGAGGATCTGGAGTGAGAAAGAAAAACGGGCCTTCCACACCCTTCCCCCAGGCCCTCCGGAGGCAGGAAACAGCCTGTTTCCCTACTTCTGATGGACCCAGAAGGCCTGAAAATCAATTGGCTGGTGCGCACATGCACGCCGGAGCTGAGCTGGCGTGCCAGGCAACATGGCTCCGCGTGGCACCTGTGGCACCTGTTCCATAGGTTCGCCAACACGGGCCTAGTTCAAACATCTACTAGGCTTCCCCCGAGTTTTCATACTCTGGGTATGTGTCCATGACGGTAGATGCTATATCCGTGATGGCGAACCTATGACACGCGTGCCAGAGGTGGCCCGCAGAACCTTCTCTGTGGGCACGCATGCCATCACCAGCTGCCCTTCTGGTTTCCAGCAGTCTTCGCAGGCACTGGAGCACCTGAAAACAGCCTGAAAACGGCCAAAAATCAGGCCGTTTTTCGGGCCATTTCTGGGCTGTTTTGGGGAACATTTTTCAGGCTGTTTTTTGGGTCAAAAAGGGCCTGAAAAATGGCCTGAAAAACCACCCAAAAAACAGCCCCAAAGCAGGCATGTGCATGCCAGCCAGCTGGTCTTTGGGTTTCCGGTGCACATAACATGCACACGCGTGCCGGTTTGGCCACTCGGTGGCAAAAAGGTTCACCATCACTGCACTATGTAATCTTTAATCAATGAGGTTTTGGGGTTCTGTTTCCAAATGTTTGGGCAAAAAAATTTGGAAACCAAACCCCGTTCGGTTTTAACTACACCTTGGAATTGAGGAGGACCGTTGTCTCGAATGGTTGAAACGGGGCTCCTCGACACCTTCATCCCGGAGGTTCTCCAAAGGACTTGGAGAACGGGACCGGTGTGCTTGCTCAACATTTCCTTCTTTCCCCATCAGCACAACGGGTTCTTCTGCTTTTTCAAGCCTGGGACTTCCCAAGGTAGGCAAGGCAGGATGGGATGGGGCAACTCACCGTGGGACAATTCAAAATTCAGTTTAATTATTTAAAATAATCGAAAGGTTGTTTTAATTTTTGTCATTCACATTTCGTTTTGTCCCTCCTTTGGCATCCTTTCTTTTAATGATTCTATTCCACTTCTTTGATATTAGCGGAGCTCCCATTCCACGGTGAGTGTCCACACACACACACACCCTGGTGAGTTGTCCTAGACTCGTGATGGTGAACCTATGGAACATGTGCCACAGGTGGCACACGGAGCCATATCTGTGGGCACGCGAGCATTGCCCTAGCTCGGCTCCAGCACGCATGCACGCGCTAGCCAATTAATTTTTGGGCCTTCTGGGCCCACCGGAAGTCGGGAAAGGGGCCGTTTCCGGCCTCGGGAAGGCCTCGGGATTGTGGGGAAGGCTGTTTTTGCCCTCCCCAGGTTCCAACTGGAACCACCGTGCCATCGCGTGCCAAAAGTGGGGGGAGCAAGGGGGGATTGCGCACACATGCATGAGGGGGCGGGGGGCATTGAATTATGGGTGTGGGCATGCACACACACAACCCCCCCCATGCTCCTCCCACGTTTGGCACACAACGGCAAAAAGGTTAGCCATCACTGTCCTAGACCCAGACAAAACTCCCTATCCATCCTTCTGTTTTTTTTAATCATGTGTCTTCATGAAGTGGGCCTCTGGCTGATGTTAAAAGAAGTTGTTTTGTTTTGTTTTTTAATCCATCCTGCGGTCCAATACTCCACAATCCACTCTGTCCTTGGGCCCTCGTGACACTGCTTGTGTTGTAAATCACTTTCCGTGATGGGCAACCATACAAATGTGATTAATAAATGAAGTCCAAGACTGTAACAAGGGCAGGAAAAAGAACAAGCGGCATGAAATTCTTCTGCATAGTCTCTTGGCTAGAGCAATGATTATTTTGTAAGCGTCTACTTTCAAAGGCCAAGAAGAATCAACAGCCGGTTCCTGGCCAGAATGAACCTTGCCAGGCCTGCAGAGAAGACAGCCTAAGGAACTCTCTGTTTATTACTTGACCCATAACCTGTCACCGTAGCCAAAAATGAAACTTCCAAGGTTTCTTATTTCCATCTCCAGCACCTCGGTGTCCCCAGTCTGTGGCTTGAGGAAACTGCACTATGGTAGCACCTGTCCAGTTCTCTTCCAGCCGTGGTGGCGCAGTGGTTAGAATGCAGTATTGCAGGTTAATTTTGCCCATTGCCAGGAGTTCGATCCTGACCGGCTCAAAGCTGACAAAATTTATATCCTTCCGAGTTAGGTAAAATTGTTGGGGGGCAATACGTTGACTCTGTAAACCTCTCGGAGAGTGCCGTAAAGCATTATGGAACGGTATGTAAGTCTAAGTGCTATTGTTGCTGCTATTCGTTGCTTTTAGATTTAAAGAATCCTCCCTGTCACTTCTTCGAGAGTAGACCATTTTGCTAACAATGCCACAAGAGATGCTTAGACTAAGGGAGATTGTTTTTTCCAACCGAAAACCAGCTCAGATCTAATTGGTTAGTCTCAATGAGCTAACTAAGTTCCTCCATGAATCTCCTTCAGTTTCTGGTGCCTAGCATTCCTCACGAGATGAAGCTTTCTCGGAAGAGATTACGGAGCGGGATTTTTTTCCAAGGCCAATACCAAGGGTGCCTGAGATACGGAGAAACTATTCATCCGAGTGAGAAATATTGAAGAGTATTTTTCCTCCCTTCAAAGTTTGAAAAGGAACACTCGGCTCGGTTTTCCTACGTTCTGGTTGCCTAGGAAACTGCAAAACACTATTAAGAATTTTGCATGCCCTCACCCTTTCCTCGCTACAGAAAATGCATGTAGATACAGCGGTCGAATGAAAAGCTGATTTTATAAACTCTCCATACAAAGAAATGAAGGCCTGTCAAGAACGAAAAACTTCATCTAGTGTCCCATCTAAACATTCATATTCATCTGTTGGCATTACTAGCGTAATAAACGTCTTTTCTGTGAACCAGGACCCACCTAGAATCAGGGGTGAAATCCAGCAGATTCTGGAGAACCGATAGCGGAAATTTTGAGCAGTTCGGAGAACCGGCAAATACCACCCCCCAGAATGGGGTGGGAATGGAGATTTTGCAGCATCCTTCCCCTGACACGCCCACCAAGCCACGCCCACCGAACTGGTAGTAAAAAAAATTGGATTTCACCACTGCCTAGAACAGGGGTCCCCAACCTTTCGGATCTCAGGGACCACTAAATTCATAATTTTAAATTCCGCGGACCACTAATATGATTTGCCGAATGACTGGCTGGGCGTGGCTAGCTGGTCATGTGACTGTGTGGGCATGGCCAACTCAATGTCACTTATGTCAAGGGGCACCTCACCAGCCTCTACTCGCCTCTCCCACCCGCTCCTCTCATGCTCGCCCGGACTCCTTAGGGCCCCAACAGGAAACAGTTGCTGGAGCTAAGCAGCCGCCATGAGAAAGAGTTCAGTTCAATTTGGATCTGACCGAGAAGGAGGCTCAGCAGAAGCACCTCACTGAGGACTAGGAGCATAGGCTTTCCAAGCAGAGGGAAGATCTGTGGGAATGCAAGGCCAGGTACCGGCGCCTGGAGGCTCAACGGCTGAGATGGTCATCCAGTTCCAGGCCATGATGCAGTCCCACTGGAACGAGGCCCTCCGGCTCTTCGCCACCAGCGTCTCTTCCCTCCAGCCTTCACCCAAAGCCCTGCACCAGGAGGCTGAAGCAGACCCTGAGTCGGAATTTCTGCCCCCCTCCGACCCACACAAAAAGACCCCGAAGGGGGAGACTCTCTGCAGCAACACAAACGTTCATTGCACGTATCCGGCCCAGGAATCATAGTTTGAGGACCCCTGATTTAGTGCAATATAAAAAATGCAAATAATTTTTCTGCGGACCACCAAAATTTTCTCACGGACTACCAGTGGTCCACGGACCACCAGTTGGTGACTGCTGGCCTAGAATACTCCAACAGCACAAAAGTGCATGATCCTATCCCAGAAGGAAGCCCTTGACTTCATCCAGAAAACCCAAAAGACGGCCTCCTTTTTCAAACATTTCAGCCCAAAAAGGAGCCAAGCGGGCCCTCTTAAAATGCTTTGTGTTGAATAGACCCTACGAGAGGTTGGTATGCAGCAGGAATTCAGCCAAACCCACCTTGCCTTTGGCGAACCTTAGCTAATTCCCAAATTTAAGATAAGAGTTGTATCTCGCCTTGCATTGGGAGAGGAGGAGACATGCTGAATTAACGGCTGAATGTGGGGAAGGCATAAACAAGGATCACGCTCCTAAAAACCAGCTCTTTTTGCATTCAGATCTTGGGTCATATGAGGACTGGTGGGGTTATTTAACCAGCCTTTGGGCAGAGGTTGTCCTGTGAATCTCCTGGGCTCCTGAAAGGAACATGGAGGACAAGATTATTTTCCTATCCCGCACTACAACTTTTGCAGCTGCCCACCAACTGAGAAGGTAAGGGTTGGGAAGAGCGGGTGGGGCACTGAACCTTGAGAAGATAGCACAAACAAAGGGTATTTCTGTCTTTGGTTTCCTCCACCACCATCCGAACTGCCCAACGCTGGATTTGGGCGAAGAGCCACAGCAGAGATGAAAGGCAAACCTCAACCAACTTTGTATCAAAGGGTAGGAGTGTCCAACTATTTAGAACATAGAAGAGTAGGGGTGGAAGGGACATTGGAGGTCTTCTAGGAGATCCTATACCATTTATATTTAAGTATCTCCTTTACACTCTTCAGAGAAGAGGTCCACTCGTGACGTTCATTCCATAAGAGCTAGTGGATTTTACATCCCATTCTTCCCCTTGTCTTTCTCCTCCAACTCCTGTGAAGGCTACAGCACATCTACGTGAAACCAAGAGTCTTCTGCTACCTTACAGGCTGATATAATAGTAATAGTAATAGTAATAGTAATAGTAATAGTAGTAGTAGTAGTAGTAGTAGTAGTAATAATAATAATAATAATAATAATAATAATAATAATAATAATAATAGGTTTTAGAGAATGAGAAACTCAAGATCTTGTGGGACTTTAGGATTCAGACTGATAGGTACTTGGTCCACAACACACCTGACATAACAATAGTTGAAAAGAAAAAAGTATGGTTCATTGACATTGCAATACCTGGCGATGCACAGATTGAAGATAAACAGCAAGAAAAAATCACAAAGTACCAGGACTTGCAAATTGAAGTTGAGCTGCCTCATCGTCAGAGCCTTTTTTTTAACCTTAACCTTTAAAAGCATTTTTTAAAAGAAGCGTCAAGCGGGAGACCAGACGATTGGGTGGGCATGGGTGGGGAGGGGGGGCAGGGATTTTTGCTACCGGTTCTCCGAACCACCCACCGCCATCACTACTGGATTGGCTGATCCGGTCCGAACCGAGAGCATTTCACCCCTGCCTGTGGACTTCAACTCCCAGAATTCCCCAGCCAGAATGTATTATGGCAGATGTCTCCAACCTTGGCCACTTTTAAGATCTGGGGAATTCTGGAAGTTGAAGTCCATGTCTTGACATTGTGGGCACCTCTGTTCTAGAGGATAAGAGTCATGGGTATAAAATACCTTGAAGGGAACAAGGTAGTGTAGAAAGAGCTTTAAGGAAAAGCAGAAAGAAGGAAAAAGGAAGGAAGATCTACCTCTAAGTCAGCATGAAACCGAGGAGCGGTTGCCAAATGATAGTGTCTTTAAAGGGCAAGGAAATATATATGTTCATCGATTCATGCTTGCTATTCAGGGCACAGGAGCTGGGACCAGTAATAAAAAAGATATTAGCCTCTTGGGGGGAAGAAATAAGGAACATTTGTCCAATGAAGGAAAATACAAGACAATCACAACTAAAGTTTAACATGGAGGGAGACTCAACCTATTCAGAAGACAACTCCTAAACAGGGCAGATCTGAAAGGAAAACAAGAGGGGCTTCCAGAAGGGGCTTCAGATGAACAGGCTTGTCCAGAATCTTTTCTAGATTAGAATCAGCTAGATATTTAAAATATACCTCATACGGACACAGGTAGGATGAGAGATCCAGTTTGCAGCATGGTTATCCAGCCAGTCCTCTCCTATGATAGAGAAGAACATAAATTGTTTGCAAAGTAGACATGGGACGCGGTGGCTCAGCAGCTAAGACGCTGAGCTTGTCGATCGAAAGGTTGGCAGTTCAGCGGTTCGAATCCCTAGTGCCGCGTAATGGGGTGAGCTCCCGTGACTTGTCCCAGCTTCTGCCAACCTAGCAGTTCGAAACCACGTAAAAAATGCAAGTAGAAAAATAGGGACCCCCTTTGGTGGGAAGGGAACAGCGTTCCGTGCACCTTTGGCATCTAGTCATGCCGGCCACATGACCACGGAGACGTCTTCGGAAAACGCTGGCTCTTCGGCTTTGAAACGGAGATGAGCACCGCCCCCTAGAGTCGGGAACAGCTAGCACATATGTGCAAGGGGAACCTTTACTTTAGGATTATTCAGATTGACTGAGCGAAGAATTAAAACTAGGTGGGGAGATCCCAAACACCTGAAAAGCAACAAGCTAAGGGAAACTTGAGTTAATACATGACTTCCGAGAAGGTATCTAAGGTGACCTCTTTCTTCTTGTTATGCCATATCACCTCCTCATTTCTGAATTTATCAAACCAGTTTATACATAACAGTTGTCTGTAAATCCACATTTCATTTCATTTTATTTTCATTTTCAATGCTTCTACTCTTCAAGTGGCTTTCTGTCAGAGACCAACTCTCCACTCCATAGAGGATAGAAAAGATGTAACATCTGAGAAGCCTGGTTTTCAATCTTAGGCTTATGTCATGACTGCAGAAGATAAAGAGTGACCTCCTTATCCCCTGCCTCACTTCCCACCTTCTTCTGGGTACCCTGCCAGTCAATGACATTTCCAAAAACCAGTCATCTTCAGTATTTAAAGGTATACTGGTTTGGCTTTGGGGTCAGCTGCTAGGATTAGATCTCTCACTGCAAAAATACCTTCTCTTTCTAAACGTCTAGGGAGATTCTCAGTCCTCCAGGTCGTGGTTGTCCGAAAGCTGCTTTTTTCCAAGCAAGCAAATGGACTTTTTGGTTTTTAGAAGAGAATAAAATAGAATTTTTTTATTGGCCAAGTGTGATTGGACACACAAGGAATTTGTCTTGGTGCATAAACTCTCAGTGTACATAAAAGATACGTTTGTCAAGAATCATAAGGTACAACACTTAATGATAGTCATAGGGTACAAATAAGCAATCAGGAAACAATATCAATATAAATCGTAAGGATACAAGGTTTTCTTTGAAGACGTTTCTTTTCTCATCCAAGAAGCTTCTTCACCTCTGACTGGATGGTGGGGAAGGGAAGGATTTAGAAAACGCAAATGACCAAGCTGTCTGCATAGAGTATAAATCCTTCCCTTCCCCTCCATCCAGTCAGAGCCGAGGAAGCTTCTTGGATGAGAAGCGAGATGTCTTCACAGAAAGAAATTGAAAGAAATTTTTAAAAAAGCACTTTTGGGTTTTCTCTTCTTCAAGTTTATTCTTTCTTTCTCCTCCTCCTCTTCACTGTCTTTCAGCAAATATCTGAGCAAAGATGAAAACCTGTCCACCTTTGGAAAATGCAATCACATCCACGGACACAACTATCAAGGTGCTGGGCGTGGTTGAGGACCGGAGCAGAGGACAGCTCAGCTGTTTGAGGGCATGAATCCCTGAACCCATTTCCCTGGGGGGGGGGGGGGGGGGAGGGGGGGGGGAAGACAAATCAGGCTTGGAAAAGTGGCAATTCCTCGGTGAATCTCTTGCCACCGCCTGTTTCTTCGACATTTTGCTTCCACCTTGAGGTGCCGAAGCAGGATTGCAGCTAATGACTGATAACGTGTTTTCTTTTCTCTTCCTTCTCTGCCACACAGTGACGGTCACTATACGTGGAAAGGTGAGTAGCGGTTTTAGATTTCTCCATCCTTCGGGAGCGCCAGGCTTAAGGACAGGCAGCAGCTGGGCAAGACTCCATCTCTCCTTGGATCGGCTCCAGCGTCTTTTGGTTCAGCCCTTTTGGGCATCCTTTGGCCGTCTCCGAATTAGAACTTCTACCGCTTAATTCGATTGTCCAGTCGCAGCCGTTTAGCCATCTGATGCCTTTTCCCCAACTATGCCAGGCACCGAGGAAATTTGCAATTTTTTTCCCCCTAAGAACTGGCGTCCAGTGGTAGGTGGCAGCAGCTATGCTATGCCCGCTCTTCTGGATGCTTCTAGGGTGGCATCAACATCATCATCATCATCATCACAGCAGAGGAAGGAGGTCTGAAGGCCCAAGGGGTTTCTCTACCTTTTCCATTGGGAGGGGGGAGCCAAAATGGGAGAAAGGAAGTTTTTTTCCCACATAATGAGGACTTTAAATGCTCCACCTGTGCTGGCCGGTGGAAGATAAACAAGGGCAGTGCATTTATTATTTTTACAAATAACTTGGCGAACATATCCAATGCAACTTCCTCCTCCTGTTCTTTCCACAATAACCCTGTGAGGTGGGCCGGGCTGAGAGAGAGGGACTAGCCCCAAGTCTTACCTTGCCAGTTTTGGTAGGTGTTTGCTTTTTCTCCTCGGGAGTTCTTTGCATACGGTATCCTTCTGTTTGTCTGGACTTAATCCCCGCTTATCTAGGTGTTGGTTGCTGGAGATGATGTGATCTTGTCTGTTTCTTTCTCAGCTTTTTTAATTGTCTCTTTTGAATGGGCCGTAAATGTGGGAATAACGTGGGAATAAAAAACGAAAGAGATTTAGGGATTTTAAATTGATTGGGGTTTTTTAAATCTGTCTGGGCCAAACTATTTAATTCGATTTTATTCTGCTTTTTAAATTTTGTATGTATGTATTTTATTGTTGGCTGTTCATCGCCCTGAGTCCTTCGGGAGTAGGGCGGTATGTAAATCAAATAAAAGTAAAGTAAAGTAAGGGAGAAGGCACAAAGCCACGGTCTCCGAGAGACACTGTCCTTCCAATTAGTTTAGGGTTGGGGGGTTGTGCAGTTCCCGCGTGGATCTTTTTCCGTCTGTTAAAAGAAAAGTTTTCCCCATGCAGATTGACCCCATCAGTGGCATGTTGATGAACACTTGCAAGCTACATGAATACATGGAGGTCAGTGATGGGTTTCAAAAAAATTTTAATACCTATTCTGTGGGTGTGGCTTGGTGGGCGTGGCATGGCTTGGTGGGCGTGGCTTGGTGGGCATGGCAGGGGAAGGATGCTGTAAAATCCCCATTCCCACCCCACTCCAGGGGAAGGATGCTGTAAAATCTCCATTCCCTCCCCACTCCAGGGGAAGGATACTGCAAAATCAAATTAAATTTAAAAAAAATCCCCATTTCCTCCCGATCAGCTGGGATTCGGGAGGCAGAGAATAGATGGGGGCGGGGCCAGTCAGAATTTTTACTACCGGTTCTCCAAACTACTCAAAATTCCCGCTACCGGTTCTCCAGAACTGGTCAGAACTTGCTGAAACCCACCTCTGATGGAGGTACCTTGTTTATTTGCGTCCCACATTTATTATTTTCACAAATAACTCAGCGAACATCTCCAACGCATCTTCCCCCTCCTGTTTTTCCCACAACAGCCCTGTGAGGTGGGTTGGGCCGAGAGAGAGGAACTGGCCCAAAGTCAAGCCAGCTGGCTTTCATGGCTGGGTTCAGGACTTGAACTCGGGACCTCCTACTTTCTAGCCTGGTGCTAGATGCTAAAATGTTTCTATGCCGGAACGAAATCTTGTTTGCGTGCTTCTGTCGAAAAGTTAGAAGAAAGTGAAAGAATGTAGACATGCGCAGTTAGCTTAGAGATAAGAAACTTGGCAAGCTACAGTAAGTCTGACAGTTCAAAAATAAGAGCTCATCTGGTAAATACAAAAACGCAGGGACACTCTGAACGTAGAAAATGTCCACCTTGGGGAAAACAAAATGCCACTTTTTAATGCTTTTCTCCTCAGATGGCCATCACCAACCCTCTTGATCACAAGAACCTGGACGAGGATGTGGATTATTTTGCCAATGTCACAAGGTAGTAGCTGGGGAAAGATGGAGCGGAGTTCTGACCCAGCTCCCCAAACACGACAAACCCTCTGAAGTTAACTCAAAAGATTCCTTGATTAGGAGCGCCGGCAGCCCCGGCAAAAAAGTTTCTCTCACACAGCAGGCTAACAAGTCCGTCCGTCCATCCGAGAGATGAATACTTGTCTGCCACATATATTCATCTCTGACCCCTGCCTTTTATCCTCAGAGCTAGGGTGGGGCTTCACTAGCAGCGGTGGCTCTTCCATCCCAAGAACCTGCCCATAGATTTCCACTGCTCTCCTCTCCTCTGCCTTCTGTGCATCTGTGTGTCAGGCACTGGACCCAGCTGTTCCTCCTCTTCCTCATCAGCTACCTCCAGACCTGGGGGCTGTTGACTCTCCATCTGAGGGCTGACGGATGGGCCAGGCTCTGCCTTTCTCTCTCTGCCAGCTCCATTCCCTCTTCCCTCTCAGAGCTTTCAGGTTGCCGATGCTGGCCCTAACTCCCACGCCTCCTCCTCCTCCTCTGATTCGGCTGCTGGAGGGGCCAGCGGCTGACAAGCCACAACAAGTAGTTGCAAGCTGCTCACACCCACGGGGTGCCATCTTTGGAAATAACGGACTTGATGCCTGTTGGCCAAAGAGTAGCCAAAAGCAACAGGAGGGACGTAGAGCAACTGAGAGTTAAAATTGCTTCTCCGGAACAGCTTCTAAGCTCCCTTTTCTCCTCCGTCCTTCTGTTTTTCTTTAGCACGACGGAGAATGTGGCCATGTACATCTGGAACAGCTTGGAAAAAATCCTGCCCGCGGGTTGCCTCTACAAAGTGAAGATCTATGAAACGGACAAAAGCTTTGTTGTTTTTAAGGGCAACTAAACTGCCCCACCCTTGCGAATGAAAGATGGGGACCAAAGGTGAGAATCCAAGACTTATTTGGAAGCGTTCTTTGGCGTTCTTCATGCTGTCTGGTTTGTTTTCTTGCAGATGTTTCATTACCTGACTAGATAGCATCATCAGTGCAAGGGGGTGTGGGGTTTGCTCTGTTTATATACAGTAACTTACCTTGCCAGTTTTGCATTTTCTCCTCGGTAGTTCTTTGCATACGGCATCCTTCTGTTTGTCTGGAGTTAATCCCCGCTTATCTAGGTGTTGGTTGCTGGAGATGATGTCATCATGTCTGTTTCTTTCTCAGCTTTTTTAATTCTCTCTTTTGAATGGGGCGTAAATGTGCTTTATCTCTATGTGTCTATTAATCACTAATGAAGTCTTCTCTGTCTTGACAGTCTGGCAACCCTAAGAAGACCCCGTCAAGTTCAACTTAACCGCTTCAAGGAACTACAATAGCCGCTTTTGCTAAGGCGCATCTCTACATGTACCATGTATCATGCTCGATGGTTGGGTGCAGAGCATTGGGACCTAGTAGGCTACAAAGCATGGGGCGAGGTGAGGTGAAATATCCCCTCCTCTTTATAAGGTTCTGTAACGAGTCTTCTTTAAGACGCCTTTCCTGCACATTTAACTGGGCAGTCTTATAATGCCAGGATTATTAACATGATAGCTTGATGGGCGAGAGTTTTGGCTGAGGGGTATTGGATAAACAAACCTGAACACTAACCATGTTAAGGCAATGGAACTTATGAATTCCAAAGGAGCTGGGCAGTCAATCGATCAGTCAATCAGAATAGAGCTGGCAGGGACCTTGGAGGTCATCTAGTCCAACCCCCTGCCCAAGCACCCTACACCATTTCTGACAGATGGCAGTCCGGTCTCTTCTTAAAAGCTTCCAGGGATGAAGCTCCCACAACTTCCGAAGGCAACTTCTGTTCCATGAGTTGATTGTTCTCCCTGTCAGAAAATTCCTTCTTGTTTCCAGGTTGAATCTCTCCTTGATCAGTTTCCATCCGTTATTCGTTGTCTGACCTTCAGGTGCTTTGGAAAATACCTTGACACCACCACCCCTCTCTGTGGAAGAGTGCTATCCTGTCTCCCCTGGTCCTTCTCTTCACTAGACTAGCCATGCCGAGTACTTAACAGATTAACAAGAGTTGGAAGGGACCTTGTAGGTCATCTAGTCCAACCCCCTTTCCGAGCAGGAGATCCTATACCATTTCAGACAGGTGGGTGTCCAATCTCTTCGTTAAAAACCTCTAGTGACAGAGCATCCACAACTTCTGGAGGCAAGCTGTTCCACAGGTTAAGTGTTTTCTGCTTTGTTTATTTGATTTATATACCGCCCTACTCCCGAAGGACTCAGGACGGTGAACAGCTACAAAATAAAAACACATGAATACAAAATTTAAAAACAGAATAAAACCGAATTAAACAATTTGGCCGAAGACAGATTTAAAACACCCCAATAAATTAAGAACGAATTAAAATTTGTGTTTTAAAAAGGGAAAAAATTAGGCCAGGCCAGCCTGATGGAATAAAAAGGTCTTGAGAGCGCGGCAGAAGGTACGCAGATCCGGGATCCTCCATATCTCCGAGAGGGAGCTCATTCCAGATAGTAGGTGCCCCCACAGAGAAGGCTCTCCCCCTGGGGGCCGCCAGTCGACATTGTTTGGCCGACAGCACCCGGAGGAGCCCCTCCCTACGAGAGTGTACCGGCCGGTGGGAGGCTATTGGTGGCAGCAGGCGGTCCCATAGATAACCAGGTCCTAAGCCATGGAGTGCTCTAAAGGTGGTAACCAAGACCTTGAAGCGCACCCGGAAGACCACTGGGAGCCAGTGCAGCTCGTGCAGGAGAGGCGTTATATGGGAACGCCATGTCGCTCCCATAACCACCCACGCGGCCGCACTCTGCGCCAGTTGGAGCCTCCGGGTGCTCCTCAAGGGGAGCCCCATGTAGAGAGCGTTGCAGTAGTCCAGGCGGGAAGTGACGAGGGCATGAGTGACCGTGCGTAAGGAGTCCCGATCCAGAAAGGGACGCAACTGGCGAATCAGGCGAACCTGATGAAAAATCCTCCCGGTCACGGCCGTCAAGTGCTCTTCTAAAGACAGCCGTGAATCCAGGAGGACGCCCAAGTTGCGAGCCCTCTCCGTGGGGGCCAGCGATTTGCCCCCAATAGTCAGCGATGGCAACAACTGACTATATCGGGACGTCGGAAACCACAGCCTCTCGGTCTTGGATGGGTTGAGCCTGAGCCTGTTCCTCCCCATCCAGATCCGCACAGCCTCCAGGCACCGTCAGGCACCGTCAAGTGTTCCGTCAGGCAACTTCTCCTTAATCCCAGATCACCTCTCTCCTTGATTAGTTTCCATCCATTGTATCTTGTCTTGCCTTCCGGTGCTTTGGAAAATAAGTTGACCTCCTCCCTTTTTTTGGGCAGCCCCTCAAATATTGGGATACTGCTGTCATGTCACCCCTGATCCTACTTTTCTCTAGACTAAGACGGGGGGGGAGGGGAAGGGGACACTACTGGGCTTAAGGCCAAAAGACCACTTCCCCAGCGTTTCTGCACATTCACTCCCACAATGCGTTGTTTAGCCACACAGCTCTGCCTTATTACGCAGTGCCTTCCTTTCATGGTGATAAGCCTTGTCCAACGCTAGAGGGCCGAAAGCTCCTTCTTTGTACCATGCGAATGAGGTTTTGTTCCATCTCAGCCTAAATTTTTTGTCCCCCTCCTTGTAAAGCATACACAATAAAATGATTTTACAAAGCAAACTGGCGCCAATTGCTTATCCTCCCATAAAAACGACGTCCTCATCGTCTCTCAGTTTGCAATACGACTCGTTTTCTCCCGCCAGATCGTCTTGGTGAGGGGAAATGACTCCGTCAAAGCAGCTTCTACCAAAGCAGCTTCGGCAGAAGGACAAGCCGAGTTTTATTGAAAAAGACCCTTCTGAAGCCACCCACGAACAGGGCAGGACTGGGCTTCTGCATGCAAGGCTGCCCCCTTGCCCACTCAAAGAACCCCCTTAACTGCCAGATGTAATGGGAGAGAGCTGGTCATCCGTGATGCTTTTTGAAGAAGGGGTGGCAGTGAGGGCATGGGTACCTGCACAGTATATGAGCGCAGACCCTCTTAAGTCTCGAACCACATAGAAAGAATAGAATAGAACAGAACAGAACAGAACAGAACAGAACAGAACAGAAAAGAAGAATAGAATAGAATAAGAATAGAATAAATTAGAATAAGAATAAGAATAGAATAGAATTAGAATTAGAATAGAATAGAATTAGAATAGAAAACAGAATAGAATAGAATAGAAGAATAAGAAGAATAAGAATAAGAATTAGAATAAGAATTAGAATTAGAATAGAATAGATGTGAGACTGCCAGGAAATCCAAGGATGGTTGGCTAGATTAGAAGTAGAAGTATAAAATAAAAAATCCAGAAGGCAGACATCTTCATACTGCTTCCAAAAAAAAAATCACCTGGATTTATCTAAGCCAGGAATCTGCAACCTTAAACACTCAAAGAGGCATTTGGACCCGTTTCACACAGAAAAGAAAACACCGGGAGCCACAAAACCCTTCCCATGCCTGACTATTTGTTGAGCGGCCACAAAACTAGCATATGCAGTTGAATTAAACGTTCTGTTTTCTTCTGAAACTTTTCTTTTCTTGGATTTATCCATGGTTGGCCTACCATGGGTTGAAACGCTCAATAAGTCGCTTGCCGGCGGGTGTCGCACATTGGCGGTTGTGACGCATATTTTGAGTGACAGGGAACCACAGCAGAGGGGTGAAAGAGCCACATGAGGCTCCAGAGCTGCAGGTTGCCGACCCCTGATCTAAGCAGTCGAGAAAGTCCTTTTTAAAAATGGGTTAAAACCAGCACACCCAGCCCAGCCCAAGATGAAACAGGGGAAAAAAAAATCTTTTGAGAGATGTTTATTTAAGTTGGGAGAGAACCGAGAGCTGGAACTTTTCAGCAAACATTCTTGCATAAAAGAAAACCCCGATGTTGGGAAAGGGGGACGTCACAAGGAGAATGGGAATACAGAGCATGATCGACACGATGACCATGAATTCGGGCAAATTCCAGGAGACAGCGGAGAATGGGGCAGGGAGCCGGTGGGCTGTGGTCCATGGGTCACAAAGAATGGGGCACGACTTAGCAACTGAACCACCATGATAACTTCCAAAAAAAAAAAGAGTATGGGAATGAACTTAATTAGAGTAAGGTAAAGGTTCCCCTCGAACATATGTGCTAGTCGTTCCCGACTCTTAGAATTATAATTATAATAATTGGCTTAATTACACAGTAAATCCATTCTCCGGCCTCTCCAGTTTTTTTAAAAAAAAAGGTGGTCAAGAAAGGGAAATACAGGTAGTCCTCGACTTACAACAGTTCATTTACTGACTGTTGGCACTGAAAAAAAAAAGTGTCTTATGACCGTTTTTCACACTTATGACCCGTTGTGGAATCTCCGCAGTCCCGTGATCAAAATTCAGATGCTTGGCATCTGACCCATAGTTATGACCGTTGCAATGTCCCGGGATCACGTGATCACCTCTCATGACCTTCTGACCAGCAAAGTCCAGTAGGAGCCTTGGTAGTACAGTGGTCTAAAGCACCCTGTTATTAAGACCAGCTGCCTGCAATTTCTGCTGGTTCGAATCTCGCCAAGGCTCAAAGTTGACTCAGCCTTCCATCCTTTCTAAGGTAGGTGAAATGAGGACCCAGTTTGTGGGGGCAATAAGCTGACTTTGTATAAATATACAAAAGTATGAAGGCTATTGCTTAACGCATTGTAAGCCGCCCTGAGTCTCCGGAGAAGGGCGGCATATAACTCAAATTAAAAAAAAAAAAAAAAAGTCCATGGGGGAGCTGGATTCGCTTAACAAGCGCGGCAAGTAAGGTTGTAAAATGGGGCAAAACTCACTTAACCAATGTCTCGCTTAACAAAAGAAATGTTGGGCTCCGTTGTGGTCGTAGGTTAAGGACTACCTGTAAGCTGCTTGGGACCAGGAAAACTCCCTCCTGTGTTCAAAGAAGCCCTGGATCTTGGGATTCACACTCATCATGGAAAAAGCAGTGACTTCCTGTTGAAACAGGAACAAACAGGAACAAAAAAAAAAAAAAGAATTGCAATTTTTCTTAACTCAGATCGAACTGAATGCTCGCACGGCAGGAAGGTTTGAGACCACCAAGCTGCATAAAACACCTGCTTCACATCAGCTCACTCACATGATTCTTTAACAAAGAGATCAACATTTACACTCACAAGTCCAACAATGGATGGTTGGATGGATGGATGGATGGATGGATGGATGGATGGATGGATGGATGGATAGTTGCCAGACCGGCTGAGTTACAGCTGTTCACCAATAATAACAGCACAAAAGGCAACTACGAGCGTCTCACTTCTCGGAAGGAGCTCCTTCTCCCTTGTAAACCACAATGTTGTTCTCGGTTTCGTATACTTTGACTTTATAAAGGGCTCCGGTCGGAAGGCACTTCTGGAGATTATCCCAGATGAACACCGCAACATTTTCAGTAGTACTAGAGGGGGGAAAAACCCTTGAGAATTAGTTACGCTGCCTTGCTAGTGATATTTTTTATCATTTGCGCCGTGGCTGCAACAGAGGGCCAAAAACCACCTCCTGCATGGTGTTTCCTTCTGCAGATTCCTGCACAGTGAGTGTGTTGAGGTTGCTGATTTTGTGTCGGCCTGGAATTCTAATCCCAGCTCCAAAACACCTTTAAAAGACCATCAGGTTGGGATTCTCTGGACCAGTGGAACGAAACACAATCCGTCTTGATTTCCCCAATAGTGCAGAACATGGATTTTGAACAAACCAAGTTTCTAGACCTCCTTGCCACTGGCAGGAGAAATCCCCTTATCCAGCAGGCAGTCTTTCCAGGGGGAAAAAAATTAGAGCAACCCTTTACAAGTTTTTTTTTTTCTTCCTCCTGATGTTACATTAAATGTCCCTGAATAATTTAGGCAATTCAGAGTCCTGTTAGAGAGAGAAAAACAACAACTCAAAAGCACTCTCGTACCCCAAGTTCAGGATTAGAAAACAGGCCTGTCCAGGGCCAGGAATAGAGTCGCCTACCTGACAAGCTCGGCAAAATAGGGGACGTCTTTATCCAGATTCTTGTGGTCGAGAGGCTCCATTATGGCTTCCTAGAAGACAGAGATGTTGTGAGGCGTTTAGCTCCTTGAAAGACACTCCAAAGTTAATCAGACTCGTTGGGAGACCTGCCTCACGTCATGCGGCAGATAAATATTTGATGGCATGAGTCAAGAGCTCCTCCGGCATTTTTGCACAGAAGTGAAATCAACCTGTCGCCTTCTCTTGAGTGTTTTCTACTTGGGTAAAAATTCCCCCCTCTCCACCCACCAGGGAGATCTTAGGAGACAAGGAAACGGTCCGTCTATCCTCTGCTTTCACTTGGAGGGTTATGACTTCCCTTCTTATCCTCCACCCACACGCAGGAAGAAGCTAAAGTTGTCAAGCTGCATTCAGCACTTCCTCGATGTGTGCCTCGATTCCCACAGTGGATCCCCAACTGCCTGGCCAAGACCCTTGAAGTCCACGGGCAGTGGCTCATCTCTGCTGGCAACCCCTGGGATGAAAAGAGCTTCCTTACCTCCATGTAGGCTTTGAGATCCGTCAGGTTGATCACCATCCCTGTAAGAGGATTGATCTAGAAAGGAAAATATGAGAGGAAAGATTCAGAGTGGGTGAAATAAATATAATATGTAATATTTATGTTATTTCTGATCCTCCTTTTTGCTGTTTAACAGAGAAAGGTAATGTTCCAGAGATGGGTTTATAGAAACTGGAATGAGAATACCTGGAATAAAGAGATTTTTGGCTTTGTTTGAAAAGCTAGTGTTGAGGTGTTAATATTAATTATACTTGCTGGAGGTAAAAGGGCAGATTTGTTTTTCTATTTGTTTCTTTTTCTGCAAATAAAATGGTATTTTTAGTATACATTTCACTTGTATAATACAATCTTTAATAAACTTATTGGGGGGGGAATAGAAAGAAAACACAAATGTTTAAAATCTGAAAACATTTCACTTACCTCTCCTTGCACAGTCACTTCCACTAGAAGAAATGAAAAGGAGCAAGAAGGAAATATCAGGTTGGGGTTTTTGATTCCACATGAAGATAATCAGCAAAGGAGATAAATACATTAACAATAGACCACATGAATAACTTCCGTCAGAAATTTAAGAAAGCTTCCTGCTTTCCGTTACACAGGTAGTCCTCAACTTAGGACCACAATTGAGCCCAAAATTTCTGTTGCTAAGCAAGACATTTGTTAAGTGAGTTTTGTCCCATTTTACGCCCTTTCTTGCCAGAATTGTTAAGTGAATCATCACAGTTGTTAGTGGCATAGTTATATAAAATGAATCTAGCTTCCCCAGACTTTGTCAGAAGGTCGCAAAAGGTGATGGTATAAGTTTGAGACACTGCCAGCGTCATAAATATGAGTCAAGCATCCAAATTTTGAGCATGTGACCATGGGGATGTCTGCAATGACAACGTCTAGTCATAAGTCTCCTCTTTACAGAATCCGGTCTAAGTCGGTTACTGGGATTCAAGGTTTAGTCTTCTGGTTTTTCTTTGAAGGCGTTTCGCTTCTCATCCAAGAAGCTTCTTCAGCTCTGGCTGGATGGTGGGGAAGGGAAGGATTTGAAAGGATGCAAACGGCCAGCTGCCTGCAAGAAGTATAAATCTTTCCCTTCCCCACCATCCAGTCAGACCTGAAGAAGCTTCTTGGATGAGAAGCGAAATGTCTTCAAAGAAAATAAATAAGAAAATCCAGTTGCCTCTTAAGACAACCATGACCTGGATGGCTGAGAATCTCCATAGACATTAAGCTACCCAACGTAACAAAATTGTTCAGGTTAACACTTCTACTTGCAATTAATTGGTAATGGTTGTACGTTGCCATATGTCATTTATGGCGTTTTGAACTGATGGTGTTTTGAAAACAATGTATAAAACCTAGTGGGCTTCAGCAGCTGTGCAAAATGAATAATTGCACACAACTCATGCACACATGAGTGCAATTTGCATAGGATGAGGGACCCACGACAGGTGAGCTTTCATCCCAATGGCTCATCACTCTATGGATGATGGGCATCAGATTCCCCCTTTTTTTCCCCTCGTTTCTCTTGGTTTCAGAGATGGAGGCCCTCCCTTCTCACCTTTGTAGTTGTGGCCGTGGCCATTGGGGTTGTTACATTTCCCAAAAAGTTTCCGGTTTTCTTCATCGCTCAGCAACGGGCTGCAGAGAAGACGGAAGAATTGTAGGCTTAACAATAACAGCAGTGCTAGTAGTCACATCTGGTTCAATTGTCTTTCTATATGTGTACATACATAATTCATTTACTATTTCATGTATCTGGTGAACATTGTGTTAAAATAATATATGGTGTATTTCAAGCTCTGTAAAATCCTAATGTAAGTAGTTTACTTTCGTTTTCTAATAATCAAGTTTTTGGAATGTGCTTTCAATTTCCTACACTCGCTTTATTGTGAATTCTGTTAGAAATAAAAATAGCTACATGGGAAATACATTTCTGAGCAATTTCAGAAGTTATCAGGATCTATTGTTGTAGAAAGACCCATCTGGAAGGATGGATACTTCACACCGTCCCTGGCCGGACTTCACCAATGGACTGGCTGGGCTCCATCAGCCAGGACCCCCAACCCAGAGGCTCAACAGAGGGGTCCAAACCAAGCCAGAGGGGCGAAGAGTACTTAACACAGTGGTTCTCAACCTGTGGGTCGGGACCCCTTTGGGAGTCGAACAACCCTTTCACAGGGGTCGCCTAAGACCATAGGAAAACACATATTTTCAGTGGGTTTAGGTATAATTTTATGGTTGGGGGTCACCAGAAGATGAGGAACTGTATTAAAGGGTCGTGGCATTAGGAAGGTTGAGACCCACTGACTTAACAGATTGTTAACACAGTTGGAAGGGACCTTGTAGGTCATCTAGTCCAACCTCCTTTCCGGGCAGGAGATCCTACACCATTTCAGACAGGTGGCAGTCCAATCTCTTCTTTAAAAACCTCTTAGCATCCAACAACTTCTGGAGGCAACTTCCGTTCCACAGATGAAGCGTTCCGTCAGTCAGGCAATGAATGGCTGGCTTTCCAGAGGGTCCCAAGGAAGGACCAGATCCTTGCATGAGGGAGATCCCAAGGTGGGATAAGGAGGGATTTCCTAACCTGGACAGCTACAAAGTGGGGGTGGGGGTCACTCTGCCACTTTGGGGAGCGGGGTGGGGAGGGGGGAGAAAGACTGCTGGGGGGGGGGGGGAAGGGGAGGTTGGAGCCCAGGTGGCCCAGCCATTTCACCTGCAATGCTCAGAGGGATCCTGCGCCCTGGCGGGGAGGACAGACTAGATGACCTCCAAGTTCCCTTCCAACTTCCAGATTGCAGAGAGGAACCTGGGCAGGGGCAGCCCCAGAGAAAGGCCAGGGCCTTTCCAGCCTGCTCTCCTCCAAGCAATGGGGGGCTGGGACAGCCTGGGGGGGGGACCAGGGGGCAAGCATGGGGTGGGGGCGCCTAGTGGGCAGGGCTGCTCCTAGGGAGGGGAGGGGAAGGGGGGGGCTTCTCACTTCTTTAAAAACATGCATAAGAACAGCCACCCACCCCCCGTTGCAAGTTTAAGTGGGGGGGGAGGGGGGCGCACCATGCCCGCTTTGCCACCTGCGCCCACCCACCCACCCACAAACCCTCCCCCCTCCCCTCCCTCCCCAGAGGTCCCCTGGCGCTCTGCACGCGCTCAGGAGCCCTTTCTTCCTGCTCCCTCGCCCCCTCCCACCACCAAAACGCCACCTGTGCAGCCGGTGGGAGGCGCTGAAAGACGCGCAGCGCGAGACCCGGGCCCGGCGGGCGAGCTGCGGCGCCGCCATGGCAACGGCTCCTCGGTCGGGCGCCACCGCGCATGCGCGGGGAGGGAGTTACTTAGAGGAGAGAGAGAGATGAATGGAAGCTTTGGCCACGCCCCTCGGGGCGGGCTTGGGAAAGGAGCACGTGGCGGGGGAATGGCAGGAGCCTGGGAGAAGCTGGTGCAAAAAAAGTTGCCCCTGCAGCTGGCATGGCTGCTCTGTCCCCTGGGGAGTTGCAGCGAGGTTTCATACCACCCGCAAGACCTTTCCAGCCCTGGGCACAGGCCGGTTGCCCAAAGGGCAAGACTGAGCTGGCTAGAGTGACCAGGTGTCCGGCCAAAAGTGGACATGCCTTCTTTGTTTGTAGGTGGCCTTTAAAGCAAGGGTGAAATCCAACAGGTTCTGGAGAAGCGGTAGCGGAAACTTTGAGTAGTTTGGAGAACCGGCAAATACCACCTCTGGCTGGGCCCCCGAGTGGGATGGGAATGGAGGTTTTGCAGTATCCTACCCCTGGAGTGGGGAGGGAATGGAGATTTTGCAATATCCTTCCTCCAGGAGTCGGGAGAGAATGGGGATTTTGCAGTATCCTTCCTCTGGAGTGGGGTGGGAATGGGGATTTTGCAGTATCCTACCCCTGGAGTGGGGAGGGAATGGGGATTTTGCAGTATCCTTCCCCCAGGAGTCGGGAGAGAATGGGGATTTTGCAGTATCCTTCCCCTGCCATGCCCACCAAGCCACACCCACAGAACCAGTAGTAAAAAAAATTTGAATTTCACCACTGCCTTAAAGTCAAATATTGTCCGGGCTTTTGAGTACTGCATCTAGCTGAGCTTCCCTGCAAAGCCCCACCCAAGTTAACAAGCAGTGCCTGAAATTGACAAGAGCATAATCAGTTTACAGGCCGAGGACTTTGGACCCTTCCCTTACCCTCCCTGGCGCCTTCCTCCCCCCTCCCGGGGGTTGAAGTTCGCAAGTCTTAAAGCTGCCAAGGTGGGAGACCCCTGCCATAAATGCTCCTCAACCTTCCTTAATCCAGACCTTTGAGTGCCCCCTCCTCAAACTTCTCACAAGGTCAGAAAGTGTTGGCCTCTGAAGATCTTGGCCCAGGAAATGCCCTCCTTCCCATCGTATCTCCACCTTTGAAGCTCTGCTCAGTTTAAGACTGAATTCTTGGCCTGTGCCAGGACATTCTTGGCAGTGGGAGAGATTTTCCACACAGAAGTGTGTTTGTTGGATGTTAGATGGATGCAGTGGCTGGCAGAGGAACAGAATAGTAGGGCGAATTGCATTTAATGGGTCCTTGTTCTGAGGAATCAAACTTCATTATCAATCAGAACATCTTTAGAACTTCCCGATGTCTTCATTTCTGATCAGAGGGTTTGATGCTTTTGGAAAGCCTCAAATGATCTCCATTTGGGCTTCCCATGTGCTGATTGGCAACTACTTCCCAACCTTCAATTTCTTGTCTTGGTCTCTTGCCTTTGCCGTCAGTAGTTCTGGATGGGTTGTGAAAGTGGCTGGGACTCTCTCTATTGCTCATCCTGAGCCCAGTCTTGGTTAAGGGAATAAGCAGCTGTTTTGGTACATCTCAGAACCTTGGGCAGGTAAGGGAGAAGATGAATTCAAGGTGCTAATTTGTGACATCTCCTGGGGAGGGTGAAAAGGAATTGGGATTGTTGGTTGGAATTAGGTTCAAGTTTTTTGTAGGCTACATCAGAAGACTTGCCTATCTGTGGTGGGCAGACCCAGGGAAGCCTTGACAAGTGAAGGACCCCTGCATGCTGATGGGGCCTCTCTGCTCCTTAGATGGCCAGCCCAAGATTGAGAAAAGGGGGGATTCTCCCCGAATAAAGAAGGGCCACTCTCACAGAAAGATGGGTTCAAAGAAGGTGGGACCTCAAAGGTGAGTTAGCCACAGCTTGAATTGGGTCACGGCAGGGTTAATGGACTGAGATGCCCAGGGAACAAAGGAAAAATATTTATCTGGTACGATTGCCAAGATTTCTCAACAGTATCTGAAGGGCTCTGAGCCAGGTTTATACAAAGTTCAACCCTGAGATTCAGGCCACAAGCACTAAGAATGATCCGTGGAGTTACTCGAGAGTGATTTCTTTTTTATTATTCTTCACTTAACAGACAGACTCTTGCCAGACTAAAGCAGCTATCTGCATAACATCATAATCATGAACGTCTTGCTTTGAATTAGAAAACTTGACTCAGATGAGAAAAATGGCTATTTCTCAGTGAATCAAAGTGGAGCCCGATTGGGGAGTCTAGGAAATTAAGGCACATCTAGAGGAAGTAATTGGTCCACAGCGTTTTGGACACCACGGTGGAGATCCCCGAATCTCTGCTGTCTCAACAGGTGGCATTTAACTGGGGACAAAGCCCCCATGGAAGCCACAGGAGATCTGGACGGGGATCTCGGTGCGGCCCAGTTCGGTGAAATTCTCCGCATCCAGAACAAGAAGGAAGCTGCCTTCATTCTGAAAGAAAGAGGGATGTGGGATAACAGTTCCTCAGGGCTGCCTCCCCGTGCAAAGCATCTGCTTCCTCTGCCCCTCCAGGGGTTTTGGAGAAAGAAGAAAAGTAAACCATGAAGGCACAGAGGAGCTCCAAAAAGTCCCAGCATTTGGAAACCCCAGATGCCCTGCAGCGTTCACCAGGAGGCAGGAGAAATTCATTTTCAGCCATCTAAAAGGAATATTCAAAGAGTAGACCTTGACCTCTCCCGTGAGGACTAAATTACCTGCTTGGGGGTGAGTACCACCGAGAGGATCACTCCCTTGTCTTCTGCCGAAGAATCAGGTTCTGGCACAAATATGGGCTCAGAAGGATACATCCCTTTCTCGCGCCAAATCTGGTGGGCAAAGAAGAGGGCTCAGAAGAGAATTTTTCTCAGGAGTTTTCAAGGTGGAACTCCGTCCCCCCGCCACACCCGCCACACAGAAGAGCATCGCTGGCCCCGATCTTCTCACCTTCATCCCCTTGGTTTCTGTATCAACCTTGATCAAGGAGTCTCCAACAACATGACCAAAGCCGCAGCCATAAAAATAACGGTATTTTTTCCCAGAGTAATGTGCATAATTGATGTGAGGGAATTCCACTCCTCCGGCTTCTTTGAGTCCTCCTTGTGTAGACTTTCAGGCGTGCACCAGATCTAGAAGAATCAGCGCGGAATCAATCACATTGCAGAATCCTTATGCATCTACTACTTGAACTTGCAAAGTTTCTTTCCTGGCACCCAATACTTTATATTTTGGGGCCCTTCCACTTGAAGAGTACAGGTAGTCCTCAACTTACAACCAGAATTTCCATCGCTGAGCAAGGTGGTTGTTAACTAATGGAATGCTTTCATTCTTTCTAAATTACACACACACACACGGACACAAATTACCTACCTTCCCATCCGCCTCCTTCACAGCTTCTGCCAGCGTGTAGGACAAAGGATTAAGGTTCTGCCCCACAGATGCCTTGGAGCTCACCGTGATCGGGAGAACAAAGCGCCGTGGAAATGGCTTCGGGAGCATGTTGTAGGTCTGCCGAGACAACAAAAAAGCCATTGCACAGAGAAACAGATTCACACTGTGATGAAGAGTCGGACGGCCAAGAGGGAAGATAACTTCTCCATCTTCCTTCACCTTGGAATCCCAGCCTTGTCGAGGACTGGAGCACCACTGTCCAACACCCCTGGGAGATCCAAGCTTGGTCTACAAGATGAAGCTCCCTTTCAGTGCCCACCATGTGGAGGGCAGAGCAGCGGTACCTGGTCAAGGGCTTCTCCAGCCTTATGGAGGTTCTGCAGTCGGAAGATATCAAAAACTATGCCATCATCGAAACAGCAGAGATCCAGGACGATGCACCCCTGGTCCTCAAAGGCGTTGATTTGATGGAAATAGCAGAAGGCCTTGCTATGATAATGCAAGGGTAAGGTCTGCAACAAGAGGCGAAGACATGAGAGTGAATTCCTGCCCTTTGGGGACACCCAAAAATTGGTCCTGGGTACAACTTCTTTTTTTTTTCACCCCCATCAAGTTTTTATTTATTTTTTTAATTTATACATATTATTATGTGGATGGTGTGGTGTTTGAGTATCATACATTTCAGTACAGATAAACATATTCATAATTATTACATTCCATTTTCTTTATTCCATATTATTTGCCCCTATCTTTTACACAAAATTTTTATTTTCATATAAATATTAACAAGTACGCAATAACATCTAAACCGATATGCTTTAACGTCCACTGTATTATCTTTTGTTATAATTTCAGTAAGTATAACCCTCAAGTTGAATAAATACAAAATTGTCTGTCTGTTTTCTTTTCTCCTGTACACCATATTTCCCAATTTTACAACAATCCATCTCCTTTCCTGTTTTTTCTCCTCCCTCTCTTCCCTTCTTCTTCTCTTTACTTCCCTCCTTCCTTCTCCTCTTTTTCCCTCTACTTCCCTCTCTCTTTGTCTCCTTTTCCTCTCCCCTCTCTATTTCCCCTCTCTCTTCTTCTCCACTTCCCTCTCCTTCCCTTTCTACTCTTCTCCTCCCCTCCACTTCCCTCTCTCCTTTCCCCTCGCTACCCTTACTCTTTCTTCCCTCCTCTCCTACTCCACTCTACTACACTCCATTTCGTTGTTGTATATAATATTCCCAATACCTACAGGATATGGTGTATTTTCCAATTAATATCTTTCAACTATATACAGGTTCTTAAAGTTACATTCAAAAATAAAAGAAACAGACTTAATCACTTAAACATGTGTTATGGATAATCATACGGTATATCATGATATTGATTAATCTTCATAGTAATTTTACACACATCATTCTAATCATACATATATATATATATATGTATATGCAACTACAATATTACTCTTTTAATACTAACATCACTTCATTGATCAAACAGCATATCGTCTGAATACCAGTGTCAACTTGCAAAGCTTTCAAGTTGCCGTGAGCGGGAGGGAGGGAGAACTGATGGAGCTGATTGATTTCCCTAACTGAAACTACATTCCACAGATGTTTTTTTTTTTACCACAATCAGTAGGAGA